TTAAGTGCTATATAATTAGACTGTGTAAACACTATGCATATTTAATTATTTATTTGGTGTTAATTTTGAGTATAAAATGAGCATTTCATGAAAGTTCCTTTCACGTCAATTTGACCACTCTGCCCACGTGGTAAAAACTTTAATTATTAACGTCTTTTAGATAATTAACAGCTTCAAGATTGAATATACGAAAGTTTAGGTAGACGTTCTCTATAAAGGTGCAACAGTTTTATAAACCAGTGAGCGTCATCATTGGCGAGTTCTCGTCTGATCAAAGTGGTCAGGAGCAAAGATGCTCGGGTGGGCGAATGGTGCCGGTATGGCACAAGTCGGATCTCCCACCTCCACGTGGTGTCCGCTGGGATGCAGGCACTCTATGCCCTTCGGTAGTCGATTGCTTCTGTGATCGGCTACCCAAGGGTGAGGGCCTCTGTGCTGACGGAAGAACGGCGACCCCAGGGGGTACAGAGCCTGTATGGCACCTCTACCACGGGCTAGCGATCCCGCGGGCCCGAGCCTTGACTCACACCGTAAGCCTGTGGTCATGTTTCGCAGGAACGGAGGGCTTGCCTTAACCGGCTGGCCCGCGAGAAGTAAACCTCTGTAAAAAATCCTATTTGTGGCCGCGGGGCACAATAAAGCTACGGTATCCCCTGCCTGTGGTACGAGCCCACTAAAAGGGGTGTTCCCGTCGTTCTCAAGTAGGTCCTGTGAAGTACGAGGCGATGCCGGCGGTGTCTTCGGACCCTGGTAGGGCTTCCCAAGCCGGTAAGGCTCGCACTGAGGATTGAAAACGGGGGCGGCGGGAGCAAGAGGTGACGTCTGAATTCAAGGTGTAAACCGTGCCGAGGAATGCGTGGCTGCCCAGACGGAAAACGGATGCAGTCTCGAACGGTTCCCTCGGGGGTACCTGCCTACCCCCCCGAGTATTTTGGCATGCCCGGGTCGACCCCCTTTCCGACCACACTCGTGGGATGCATCACGGATTGTTCACTATTATCAACTAAAACTTCAGCTGTGGTCGACAGCGTAAAAAACGGCCAAAAAACAGAGAAGAGCGAGGAGAAGAAGGGAGAGGGCAGGGACATCGGAAAGATTACGGCTGCTACCACCGGTCAGCCGGTTGTACGTTGCACCGACATCCTAAAGACGCCGGTAGAGGAAATAAAGAACATGTCCTTGCCTAGGATGGAGGTGGAAGCGAGCACGTTACAAAAGCCCACAGCCGCGGAAGGCACTCCGTGCAA